TTAATGTCTGTTGTCTGAGTTCAAAGCTCTGCTTGACAACCAGCCCGATTAACATGCAAAGTGCAACCAAGCAAGACTGGGCATGTTTTGATCATGTGTGGCAGTCACTGATAACTGACTTGCAATGTGGCCATTGCTCTCTTCTACATTTACATAGGTTACAGATTTTCCAAAATGGACAGTTTAAATAAGCCACAAATTGAAGCATACTGTGGAAACACTGGCAGCCCCAGCTAACTGGGACAATAGTCCTCTACTATGCTAAGCTACCAGGAAAGATAGTGTGCTGCTCAGGAGAGGGCCCCTGGCCTCGGATGAGGTGGCAAAAGAAATCTGTCACTGTTTTTATAGATCATTTTAGGCACAGCCAGACAAAATTTTAGGGATCCTTGGGGATCACCTAATCCACTTTTTTCTTCCCAGAAGCATTCTCAACTGTTTGTTATCTTCGTTTTACAATCTAAAACATGCATTTAAATCCATTATGGGTTCAGGCACACAAATTCCTGCTGTACCTCTTCTGTACAAGTGCATGTACCTCTTTGTTCTCCTCTATATACTGGATAATGGCCATATCCACTTCAGAAAGATAAAGGATTTACCCATGGACATGCACATATGACAATGCTGTTGCTATTACTGTTAAAGATAGTCATGGATGCTTCTCTACAAATACATGCAGCTTTCTGCTTTCCGGCACCCTTAAGCCAAGGTGGAGCCCTGTGGATGACTGTCTGTGTTTTATGCAGGCTAGAGCATCTGTCTACCAGCTCTAGGCCCATCAAGCTCCTTTTTTTTTTTTTCCTCAGGGAGTGAAATCATCATCTCATTCTTGGTGAACAGTGAGTGTGAACAAGAGCCTGGCTTTATGAGGTCTGCTGTGCGTTATCATTGTGACATCCCTTCACAATCTTGATATTTCCTTTATTACAAAGGGTGTCTACTTCTATCACTAAATGTAACTGCCCTAATCAAGAGAAAAGGACATTTGATTTTAATGGACAGATAAAATCTCAGCCCAATTTAGTGCGATATTTGCTGAATGAACTAAGTCAATTTCTCTAGAGTTTTGGTAAACTGCAAATATTATTTCAACACACTCCATTCAGATTCACAGATTTTGGGACCCTTAATTCCAATGACAAACCTACCAGAGAGAACTCTAAGTCTTTACTACATCTCAAATCAAAAGTGAATACTGTTACACTCACAGAAATAAAACCAGTGCCATTTAAATTTTGATACAGCACTGTTTATATATATTTTTAATCATATACTTGATACAAGAAATGGCTTGGCTCAGAGGGTACTCCCAGTTCAAGTCTCCACTATACTATTTCTGATCCAGCTCCTTGATGTTGTATCTAGGAAAGCAGTGGAAAATAGCCTAACTGGTTGAACCCTGTGCCCATGTGGGAGACCCAGTAGATGCTCATGGCTCCTACTTTCAGATATGCCCAGCTCCGATTATTATAGCCGTTTAATGAGTGCATTGGGTGATGAAACATCTCTTTCTCTTACTCTCTCCCTCCTTTTCTACTTCTCTTTCTGTCTGTCTCTGTAAATCTGTCTTGCAAATAAACACAAGTTTTAAATGGTTAAACTTATTAACTCACTTCCTCTTAAAGCCATGTCACCTATCTGAAGATATAAAAAGAAAAATATAAGTGAAGCAAATGAAAGCATTTCTAATTTTTTGCTTATTTTACACTTAGAGTTCAACACTCTGAATCGCCTTTCAATTACTTATTCCCACAAGACTGTCTTTTGAGACACTAAGAACAATAATACAGGAAGAGTCCACTATCATCTCCAGGATTGTCTTTAATTCAATGGGCCAATATAAGTTCACATTTAAAGACAATGAAAACTATCTGACTCTCAGTAATCAGTCATATATGTTAATTATATGAATAAATTTAAATCTAAGAAATGATGAGATATGAGTATGTGAGACACAAGAGCCTTGATACTCTGTGTATATTATAGAAGGAGGTGTTATCACGATTTTGATGAATGCGATATGCCATCAAAGGCAGTGTGACATCTTTAGAATAACTGTTCTTAGCAACTATGTATTCAGGCTTTTTCTAACAGTGATTAGGTCATTTATTTACTTAGATGGTAGGGACATAAATATTATAAACACTCAGGAAAAATGCTTAAGCATTTAAATCTTTTAGGTCTCATTTTGCCTACGGTGAACAAAAAGAAATTAACCATATGGTTACTTATGGGTCTTTTCTAAAATATGTGGGCAAGGACAGGTATTTGGTACAGTGGGTTTAAAATGCCACTTGCAACACCGATATTCCATAGTGGAATGCCAGGTGTTTAGTACTGACTCCATTTTGGATGGCTCAGGACCATATGATTGCTTGGATTAAGTTCTAAGCCCCTGTGTTTGGCCTGTTCTAGCCCTGGGTGCTGAAAGCATAAGGACAATGAATTGATACATGGGAGATCTTCCTCTGTCTTTGCTGCAAGTAAACATAATTAAATACATTATTAAAAAAATGTGGACAGGGCTAGCATAGCATCATAAGAGATAAATCCTCTACCTGCTGGCATTGCCATGCCATGAGAGTACTGGTTTGCATCCCTACTTTGTTCTACTGCCAAAGTCAGCTCTTTGCTTACTCCCTGGGAAAGCAGGGGAGGATGGCCCAAACCCTTGACCCCTGTACCCACGTGGGAGAGCTGGAAGAAGGTCCTGGCTTTCGGCTTTGGACTGCTTCATCTCTGCCTAGTCATGGCCGCCATTTGAGGAGTAACTAAGCAGATGCAAGACCTCTCCCTCTAGCTTTCAAAGTGCGTGCGTGTGTGTGTGTGTCTCCCTCTTTCTCCGACTTCCAAGGGAAAAATAAATAATAGAAATAATAACATGGACAATTAGATTTGGAGAGCTCTTTTTTTTTTTTTTTGAGAAGCTTTGGAAAAAAGCAGTGGGGGCAGTTTACATAAAACTATCTTTTGAAAATGTTCAGGTATGCAAACAATGGAGATACACATAACGTTTTTGCCTATCACCTACCAGCATGCACAGGTAGGGGATTTTAAACTACACGTGTATGTGTGTGTATGTGTGCTTAGCCTCATTCTGGTATCTGTGCTTATACACAGACATTATTGTTGAAAAGGCAATCACCCCTACTAAATATCTGGAGGCCAAATGTGCACTTGATCCTCACAGAGCATGAAATTAGACTTAATCTGTGCCCTGAAGGAAAATCTTACTGAACAAGTATAAAATTGATTTTTCTCTCTCTTTTTTTAAGCAGTTCTTTATCTCTTCCCCTTCTTAAAGGACAGTACAATTGTACAATTACTTAGGAGGTACAATCAAAGCTTTGAGCATAGCTCTTTATACACTTATCAAATGAGTATGATAATTTGCTATAATTCTCCCTCCTGATTATATACAGTAGCTATTTCATTCTCTAAATAATATCTTGTACTTTTTTTTAGAAGTTGGTTAAATTGCCTAAGAAGAGAATATTAGGCTCAGTTTCTTTGAAGGGTAATACAGTGGGAGTGACTGTATAATTATCTCTACCGGGCTTTCACCCACCACACAATGTCATCTACTATATCTATTGCTTTCCTGTTGAGAACTCCAGTTAATCCTACTAACTAGCACACAGGCAAATGAGGCAGGCACATTTTATTTTTAACTTGAGCCTGAGCGAGTAAGGGGAAAAATACTAAGATTGATTGAATCTGATACATCTGCAATTTTTATTTTTAGCCATTTCAGTTACATATTCAACCAAGTAGGTACAGTAATTTAAGCATTACAACTACTTGTATGGCAGTGTCCTATCCAGTACTTTCTAAGACCAACTGTCCTTTAAGCCACTCCACAGCTCAGTTATTTTATGCTTGGCAATTATTACTCTATTCTGGATGGGGAGTTTTATTATATTTTTAATTGATGTGGATTTTGTTTTCAAAATATTAACCATTCCAAATGCTTTAAGCAAACTTAATTTTTAAAAATAACTCAATAGCTTATGGCAGAAATAAGTTTAACATAAGTCCATCAATGAACATCTTGGGATTGTGAGAAGAGTGTCATTCACCAAGATTACCCAACAACAATATATGAGAGATTCTCCTTAATGACAGGCACCTGGGTAGGGCCTTGAGTAGTCTGATATGTTTATGACCAATGATTGACACCAGCCTGGCTTTTTGACCTTTCTTTGTGTCTAATTATGAGTATAGTGTGCTAATTAGAAAGTAAGAAGTTCAAACTTACCGCATTATACCCTTGAATTAGACTACCAGATTGCTACAACTCAGAAACAAACTACCATTATATTGAAGTCATCATTCGTTTAAAAACTGATTACCACTAAAGTAGATTCAAGGTTATAGAGGACAAGGGTTATCATGGAGAACAAATGAGCATGAGATTCCTGTATGTCCTGTAATTAGACTGAGGTAGCAACTCTATAAATCTGGCATCACTGAAGTGTAAAAAAGCAACAGACACAGAGAACACTTGCCCAAGCTGCCTCTTCACTAGCATGGTGACTGTATTTTCAATGGTATCCTGAGCCATCATTTCATGTATTTTGACTTAAGAGCTAGCCTGCCTTTGGCTAAAAAAGCAGACTACCCGCTGAATGCAGCAGTGAATTACCCCTCTCCTGGCCAAAATTTCCTAACCTGTAACGGGGTGGGGGTGGGGGCAGGGGATATTACAGACTGTCTTGCCAAGATAATTAAGTAAATTAGTACACTCAAGTGATATATTACATTCCCAACACATGTTGCTTACATTATTCATCTTTTTCTGAATTTTCTACTAATAGAAATAATTGGTTATTTCTCAAAAAGATCAAACCAATGAGCAGAATTCTATTTAAAATTTTGGCTAAATAAGCATAAAAAAGAATTGTCTATAACACTGTGCCTAGCTTCTGTCTATAACACAAATTCTCTCCGATTTAAAAATACCCAGAGTTGTCAATCTGGAACACACTTTTAATTACCTCAAAAACCTTTAATGTTTCAATTTCTTCTCAAACTGGTGCCCCTAATACCCCCAGGTGCCTACTGGACAAGGTTCAGAATATACAGTTGTCATATTAAATCTATTCATATACTTCCCTTTCAAGCCTTTTCAAGATACAATTTAACCACATATTTTTCTATTCTACTTACATTCTGCAGGTATTTCAAATTTCTTTCCCAAATAAACACAGCTTTTGCCTACGCACATCTTTGTTATAATTCATCTCCTCCTATCCAGCTAAACTGTGGCCTGCCTTAAAAATGAAAGTCACAGGTATCCTTTGTGATTTAATTCAAGTATCATCACTTACCTCATCCTTCTTTGTGACCTCACAGTAAAGTAAAATCATGCCTACTGAAGCCTGCTAGGACAGACTCTCCACCATTTGGCCTCAGCAGCAACTGTTGATCAGCACCAAGTTGTATGTTCTTATCTAGGCATGGCCAGTCTCAACCCTAATCCTTGACCCATCTTCTCTCCTTTACCAGAACATTATATGCTTCTCTAACTTTCCTATGAGAAAAACATAAAATTCCTACATGTTTCCTAGAAACCTATTCAGAGATGACCAGCCTTCAGAAACCTTCTAGATCAAACCTTTTTCTTCCCAGTGTGTTCCCTGAATACCTCCTTACTAAATCTAGGTCTATAACAACATATTGTAATTTTTCTGTTGATAGACATTATGTGGTGGGCTGTATCTTGTACACTACTGTCATTTTCATTAACGTTAATACCCAAAAAATCTCTGGTACATGGCAGGTACCCAACAAACAACGACTTAAATTGATTGTTTCTTTTAAAAATGGGAAGGTGGTTAATTCAAAGGCAAGTTAATTGGACCTAAAAAATCCTGGTAAGTTTTAAAAAATGTGAACTATCAGTCTATCTTTACTTTTTTTTTTCAATTTATTTGAGAGGTGGGGAGACAACAGAATGGCAGACAGACTCCTAAGCAGCTAGTCCATTCACCAAATGCCTACGATAACCAACGCTGAGTTAAACAAGATCAAGAACTGGGATTGCAATTCAGTCTTATCCTGAGGGGGTCAAGCACCCACCATTGGGAGTTATTCTTTGTTGCCTTCCAGAGAGAGCATGAACAGGAAGTTGGAATTCGGTGTGCACCCAGGACTTAAAAAACAGGCGATCCTGGGCCTGGCATCGTGGCCTAGCGGCTAAAGTCCTCGCCTTGAACATGCCAGGATCTCATATGGGCGCTGGTTCTAATCCCGGCAGCTCCACTTTCCATCCAGCTCCCTGCTTGTGGCCTGGGAAAGCAGTCGAGGACGGCCCAAGGCTTTGGGACCCTGCACTCATGTGGGATACCCGGAAGAAGTTCCTAGATCCTGGCTTTGGATCGGCATAGCATTGGCCGTTGCGGTCACTTGGGGAGTGAATCATTGGACGGACGATCTTCCTCTCTGTCTCTCCTTCTCTCTGTATATCTAACTTTCCAATAAATAAAATAAATCTTTAAAAAAAAACCAAAATAACAGGCAATCCAATAAGGGATGATGATATCTCAACTGCTACACAAAATGACTGCCATATCCTCAAATATACCTTTTTACCAAAGTTTAACAAGTAAGTTATTAGAGGTCTTACAGGGATGCCTAAATCCCAGTTGTAGAGCTTGGCACCTTCATGATGCTCAAGCTTAATTATGTTAGCTAAAATTAATAATGAAGGAGTAACATGCCATACTTAGATCCATTGAATCACATTTTAAAAACGAGCAGCTAATGCAACGCTTTTCAATAAGTAAATTAATGATGGCAACTAACATGAGATAACACAGAGAGCATGGATCTAAAATGTTCTTTTACTTCAATAACCACATTTTGTAAATAGGTAACCGAGTCCATTTAAAAAAGTGAATGATCAATAAATCATTACAAGGATAAAATTTACCTAAAATGTATCACTGATGATGTTGAACTTAGAAAGATTATTTACCTCATCCTAGAACTCAGAGTTGATCAAGGTATGATGAGTGAAGAAAAACAACAGACCCTTAGTTCTGACCTTGATCTTTCACATGGCAGTTGTGTGATTTCTGGCAAGTGTTCCAGGCTCTATTCACGCACATCAAGACTGGTAGTCATATGCTCCTCAGAGTGTAAATGAGACTAGACACAAATATCTGATAAGTTAAAAATATGGTATTTAGCTAATGAAGATCACAGTATCAGATACGACTTGCTATGTGATGCCTTCTGTTCTAAGCACTGATGCCTCTGATGGTAATGGAAATCACCATAAAAAAAATGTCTGGTGCCAGCCAATACACCTTACAATAGTTTCTTATTGGTTATAGGATGGATTTCAAGCTGAAAGAAATTAAAGAGTATGCTTCCTACTAAACAGAAGTAACAGGACATGACACATTTGATACTCATAACAACCATACTCATAACAACCTATTAAAACTCTCATTTTAAAGAAGTGGAAATTGAGACAGACAAACGTCAAGGAATTTTTCAAACTTACACAACAAGATTTTATGAAAATGAGAAAAGAATACAAGGGCTCATAAAGCTTTATGGGTTCAACTCTTAGAAACCCACAAATGATATAACTGAGCCATAAAACCTTCCGCTCTGAAGTGTGCCATGTTCTGAGATCTAACAATTCTCATGGCAAAGTACTATGAAAATAAAAGTAGGAAGGTAACAGCTTTAAACATTAAACTTAAAATTTTTACAATTTGCATCTCTTTGCATATTGGTACCAGACCAATTTGCACTCATTTGGATTTGGCTCTTAAATTTTCTTAATCCTTTCATTTAACTGTTTTCTGTATTCTTAATGATACTGTAGGCTATTCTGAGGATGATATTCAGCATGTTTTTAGATCTCCTGTCTCCCCTTCCCCACCCTACAATCCTTGCTCTCAGCTTAGTGGGCACAGAATAAATGGTGCTGACTAATTAAAAGCAAAAAAAGAGAACTGATTTGGCATCATATCCATAGCATGATATTTAAAAAAGGCACAACTCCTCAAGCATACATTATTGTTGGCTTCTTGAATATGATTAGTGGCAATCTTGATATAATTTACAGTCTGACAACATGGATTTTGGAAATAAGCAGAAATATCCTCCAGAGGTTTCGTGAGAGTGCTTGGGTGAGGGGTGTAGACAGGAAAGCAATGCTTGCAAGTTTTGAGTGACTGTGACTTGACCAAGACAAGAGTTACTGAACGGATTTCTTGGACTGATCACAGTGAAAATGTAAAAATAAAATGAATTATTTGGTATGGTGATGAGAAATAGACAATAGAGGCAACATCTAAAATGATACTCAAAGAAAAGGTAACAGTGCCCATTTGGAAACAACAACGTTCTTTCATGTGTAAAATCACCTCTACACACAGCAATGTTCTTAGTGAGTATTGTTCCCAAATAAGAAAATCAAGACAAGTGGTATTCTGAATCATCTGTGACACTCTAACATAGTTATTATAAAAGGCAATCATAATATAAGCCCTTTCATATTATCTTGCTTTCATTGAAGGGAAGATTAAAAACAATCACAATTGTATAACTTTTAATGATTACTTATCAAAATCTTTGCATAGCTGACAGCTTGCAAAGTAGACAAAATTGAATCCTTTCATTCACTTTCCCCATCATATGATATTGCCTACTGAGTATACCAGGAACAATTCTTCATGAAACTAATGTCAAGTACCAGAAACTACTCCAAAATCCCTTAATTTTTAAATCCTAAGTGGCAATTCCTCTCCTCCGTCCTCTCTGTGGCAGGTATGTCAGAGTTGGGTAAATAAGCACAGACCACTTTTATAAAAATCTGAAAAGTTGGTGAGTAGAAGAACATCTATTCATTTTCTAGGACTGAATGTTGATAAAAATAAACCTCAAATATAGTAAAACTCCCTTTTCAGTCATCAAATATTGAAAGCTTTGTATTACTTTAAATCTAACATGGTTTACTCTATTCAGTTCTGTAAATTTGTTCTCCACAGTATGATATCATACACATTTCATAGAGTTTTAGGAACAAACACAAATCATATTCTGGGTTTAGATAACTGTTAGAAATATTAGGTTGGAGGGGATAGAAAATAGAAGAAAGTCCCTTAAAAAGTATTAACATTCTAAAAACATTTCACAACTGCTTTCCAATGGGCTTATTGCTGAGCTAATTCTATAACCAGAATCTTCAAAGCACATGTATATAAATTGTGATTTATACCTTTTAAAGTATACTGGCATTTTGTTGGACTGCTCTTGGTCAGAGAGGAGCTTGCTTACAATATGCTTAGATGTGTAGGTTTATGAAAAAGTATGTTCTAGTCATGAGGAACTCACAATTAATGTACTGGAATAAGTAACGCAAAATTGTCTAGGTCTAATTCCTTATGCTATGCTTTTAGCATGAGCTTCCGCCCAATCTCAAAAGGTGTCAATCTTTTCATCTGTGAAAAGGAAAATACAAAAAAGTAGTTCTTTGGTTTTTTAAAAAGCCATTGCATTTTGAACACTGGAAATGCAAACCTTTAGTAATGACCTTTACTCAAAATGCTCCACTGGGAAGCTTTCCATTTTATATACTAACTAAATTCCTTAAGCTAGTTGAATATTCCTTCTGATGCCTGGATTAGCCAAAATGAGTGCTTTACAAACTCACTTTAAATTTGATTGAAACAGAGACATCTTAGTGTAGGTGAAAAATCAAGACCATGGTATAAGAATACTGCCTAAGCAAGCCAAGGGGATTTTATGTGCCCTTGAAGACCAAAAATAACTGGGTGGTCTATATTGCCTTCCAACTAATATAAAACAGAAAAGAACTACCCAACAGTTTTTACAGATAAGTAAATAAAGAGGGTTATGATAGATTCTCTTTTCAAACCATTATTTATTTTGCATTCATTTGAAAGGCAAAAAGAGAGACGGCCTCTATCTGCTTGTTCACTTTCCAAATGCCTGTTAGAGTAGGCACAGGCCAAAGTCAGAGGGTCAGAACTTAATCCATGTGCCGCATGTGAGTGGGAGGGACACAATTTGTAGCAGTCATCAGCTGCCTCCTGGGGTGCACAGCAGTGGGATGCAGGCCAGGAACCAGGATAATTTGGACTTGAACTGAACACTAAGACGCAGAATGTGGCATTCTCAGTGGCTTAAGAACAGTACCCCAGCACCCTTCTCTGTAACAATTTTTTTTCGAAATCCAAGAAACACAATGCAGACACAGTAGGTTAGAGTCAGATCTTGGTACTACAACTCAAGCTTTTCAGGGATTTATCTAGTGTATCAAGAAGGATTCACCTCTAATTCCCTTGACTTCTCATGCTTCTTGCGACTCCTTACCCACACAAATTTCCCTCTCCACTTTTAAGAACAGTGAAGCTATGTAGCATACATTTTCTCCCTTAGTATTCCCTTCTCCACGAGCAATCTGTTTTTAAAGAATCACCCTTTCTTTCTCTGATTGGATAAAGGAAGCAAAAGACTGCTTTCCTACTATGAAAATCTGTTCTAGTTCAATATGTCTCCAGAACTAAATTCCCTTCTACACATTCACTAGAATATTTCATGACTCCTACTTCGTGAGACCCTTCCCAAAGGCAGGTGTCATTTTACCTTGGGGCAGAGGCATTAACTTCTGTCCTACACTTATGCTATCCTATTTTAGTATCAAATATCTCTAAAAACTTTTTTATGAGAATTAAACACAGAGAAAGTTCATTACTGGATACGGGAACATCACCAACTAAATCAAAGGCTTCACAATGCATTTTAAGCAAGCCAAGCTGAATGTTGCATTTTCAGAATCCTCTACTGGGCTGGGTTAAAAACATCCTGTGATACAGAAGTACATAAAATGTTGGGTCTCAGTTATCACACAGCTCTGGTTAAGCAGTGAGCCACAAAAAGTTGTTAGTTTTAATAAAAAAAAAATCACCACAGGTTTATAACAGGTAATTATGAATGCTGACCACAAATAATTGGATCCGAGATTGAACTCCAACCAGACCAGATAGTCATGAGCTATGCTGGAGCAAGAATTCTTTCCCAAGTTGCACTGGAGGAGAATCAGCTAAAATAACTCTTACACTGCTTTGGACATCAGAGTGCAGGAGCAAGAGCAGTTGTTACCAGGGACTACACGGAGGAAAGGCAAGAAACACAGAGCAGGATGAAGAAGCATAAGGAAGCAAGGCTCACGGAGAAG